TGCGCACTTCGTCAATCTTTTAGTTAACACTTAGAAAAATTAACAGCAAATTAAGTTTACCTTTATGCAACGGATCATACTGTTCAAATTCCTGTTGAAGCTTGTTGTTGAAGGAGCCAAGCTTTTCCCTGAGCTCTCGCACAGCTGACTCTTCAACCAGGCTCAACCTGCAAATGAGCAAGTTCTTTCAAATCTTTTCTTCTTATGACTCGCTACTCACGTACCTCTCGCGCATCGTGCTTTTCCGGTGAGTTTTTGACGCCATGTACTGGACGAAGTGCGGTTCCTTGTTGCGCCCGATGAATTTTACATAAGCTCCTCTGTTGCTACCTAGTTCATAGTAATTCGACGCAGAGAATATCGTAAGGACCCTGAAAAGGATCAAGCTTTTTCATGATAAGGCTGTACAGAATGTAGTAGGTGCGAAAGTTGGATGGATTAAAGCAAATTACAACGCCTTGAAACAACGCCCCTTTCGGTTTTTCAAGAGTTAAGAGGAGTGGCGTATTTCAACGGGGGTGCAATGTGTGGTTTATGGTGCCCAGAAGTAAAAGCTAGGGCGCTACTTGGTCCATCAGCAAAGAGGAAAAAGAAAATAAAAACATAGAGATATCAGAAGAAGCCTCCTTCGGAAAATTCTGAAAATATACGCAAAAAACCAATTCGAGTACAGCGGTGTTTGAATGATATTTGCTTTTCGGTATCCCAGACAATTCGGTGAACTCGGCTGTTTTCTCCTGCTACCTTCAGTTTTAGAAATTCTACTGCTGCTTACCCTGTACGAATTGGTTGCCTTTTAGGATTCATGGCAATTCTAAATTTCATGAGAATAGGTCTCACTGTCACGGCCTAAATTCCAGTTAGCTTCATTGATCGAGGTCGTTAATCCTTCCGATAGTCTTCGAAAACAGTCCACGGAACACGGACGAGAGTATCAGTGTCAGTGTGAAGGCACACTCCACGAATAGGTCACTGGAGGGAAGTTCACTCCAAAAATGGTGGCGCTGGTCGCAATCACTCAACGTACCAACTTTGCCGCACAAAATCGTTAGCCAGAGGCGCGAAGGCCTGAGGGTGCTCGCAGAGCTCCACCTAGCAGACGGGGTCCCGCCCCGTAGATGATTCATAGGCCGTGCCTTCCACGCGTTTACATCTATGATCTCTCATTTCCGACTCCGTTCTCTCTTTTCGGCTCTCCAACATCCTGTCTTCCTCCTCCACAGCCAACAGAAAAGGCGCTTATTTTCAGTACTTCCGTGGTTTATTTGCTCTTTTTTCACTATTGGTCCTATTCGCACCTCTCCTTATTTTGGAGTGGTACAAGCACACCAATTGATTGGTGAAATATGCCTTTGATGCTGTGGCTCTATTCTGCCAAACTTCCTGGCGGCCGTTTTCATTATCGGTACCTGTTGTACAATTCAATTGTTTTTGTGTTCTTCAGCGAAACTGGGCCAGTGAATCTTTGTCTGCACCATTTTTGCAATTTTCGCAAGCGATGGTTGTAGCGGGGCGGAAGTGGTGTAGTGGCAAGTGGCGCGCTTACCACGCGAGCGGTCCGGGGATCAAATCCTGGGTCGTGAGTCGCCCGGGCCAACCAAGCCTTCCATCCCTCCGGGGTCGGTTAATTGGTACCAGACTTGTCTGGGAGGATAAAAACACTGACTTGTACATCGGCTGGCCCCCGCAAGTCATTGTATAGGCCACATCGCATTCAAACGCCACTGCGAATGTACAAATGGAAGTAGAATGCGTGCCGCATCCCAAAAAGGGATTGATCAACGGCAAATGCTTTATCCTTTATCCTTTATGGTTGTAGTAGACCTCGAAAAAGACCCCGTTTTTGCTCTTCAATGACCCTTGAGGGTCAGGCATGAGACTGCAGCTCAACCACTTTTCACTAGGGTTTCCTGCTGCGAGAACGATCTAAATGTGTCGACATGGTTGCGCGTTAAAAGCTATCCTGTCAAAGCAGAACCAACGCCTGGAATACATATCAGAAACGAATCAATTATGCTATTTGCTGACAACAGCCTGCGAAACCGTAAAAGGAAGGAAATCAATGTGGTCTGTCTAATGAACAAGAGATGGATGCCACTGCGACGTGGATAAAGCCTTACCCTGCACAACTGAAGGATCTAAGCGCCGCAGGGAGGTACTTGTAAAGGAATTTACTTTCTCTCACGTTTTATTGTGCGTGTACTCGTAGCCTTCGAATTTGCACTCGTGTGACCGGAACGAGAAGACTGAATCCATGTCTGAAAGAATTGAATGGAGTTTCTCCAGTTACGGAATGAAAAATAGGGCAAAGAAGGCGGACTTTTCTAAAAAAGAAGCGGTGATATCGGCTCCAAAGTACGATCCTCCGCCTCGAAACACATTCGGCCAGCAACCTGAATTGGTGGAATTGCTTCCATCGTGTACTATTTCAAGAGCTTTTTAAATACCTTTGTTCTGCTTAGGATCACTCCACAAAACGTCCAGCATTTGCTTCCATTCGTCCACGTTGACCGAATTCTTCTTCGGAACCCCTCCGAATAGGAGGACGAAGTAACTGACTGGTACTGAAATGGGAGTAATCTCAAGGAGGAAGTAAATTTCTAATAACACGCACGGTTTGGACAAAGTCCAGGATTGAACTTATGTCTTATTGCGCTTTCGAGTGAGAGTGGAAATGTGAAGGTAACACTGAGGTGGTGAGAAAACGGGAAGAACCCGTTGACGAGGATAAAAATAATTCCTATCCAGAAATGGCGAAGCGAGATAGATAATTTTTGGGGAGTATTGGGATTTATTTGGGAAGGGCGTATGATGTTTGGTGGAGCATATGATAAATTCATGCGTAGCGCTTGAGCATTGTTAACACGTTGACGACATTGCGCATTTTGGATTTTTGCACCGAGTGGGACCAGGGCGATCTCGGAGTGATACGCCAACGTGGAGCCGCACGAGCTGCAGGCAATCACCGACTCACGTCCGAGCTTGCGAAGCTATGCAGAGAGGCGATAAAGGAAGATCTCAAGGAGCGAAGAGCAGCAGTATTAGCTGAAGCAGCAGAGGCTGGGAGGAGCATCCGCAATGCCCGCCGAAGCTTTGCCAGCTACAAGACCAAGATGACCTGCCTCCGACGTCCGGATGGAAGTCACTGGTTGCGAAGGGCAATGGAGACGCTTGACTTCTACTCTGAGTTCTTTGACAGACATGTCTGCCTGCTCGAGTATAACCTAAAGCAGAGTGGATGATTGCACCTGTGTCTGTTAACTTCGCTGAAGTTCGCAGTAAGCAAATTATACACTGGTGTGCAAAACTTAGGGACGAACGTAGCTTTTCCAACGACGTGTTACTGGCGCGTAACATGACTCTATGGAACCTAACCACACATACAAAGAGCTGCCACAGGGCACTAAAGAAAGCAGTTAACAGGAACCGTTAAACGGTCCACAAAGCTATCAAAAGGTTATGATACTTCATCTGTCTCGTCCTTAAGTTTTGCACACCAGTGTATTTTCTATGACGTTGCAACGCTTGGCCGCGCGTTGGTTAGCTCTGTACTCTATCACGAACCGTCAAGAGTTTGAGTCAACACAGAGGTATGACTTGTGTCGTACACGCAGATAATTGATTGTCGGAATGCCGGAAGAGAGGCCGAAAAGTGGTCTAAGTCTTAAAAAGTTCCAGTGAAAGACGTGCACACTTTTTCTATCTATCGAGTCTATCAACGGCATATGGTAAGAGACAAATTGTATCGGATCGACTTTATCAAAAAGACGCGAGGCTTCGAGAAATTGCAAAAAAAATTGTGAGTATACGATATCTACGCTCAAAGGCAAACTGGCAGTAGCGAACCTTATTTCTGTGGATTTTGTCGAGGTGGGTCACATCTGTTTTGTCCGAGATTCCACCATGGACAACGAAAATGTTTTTGTCAATGATGGTGGCGATCGGCAACCACGAGAATAAGTCCTCGAGCGTCTTTGTGATCGTAGTCGAATGATCCTGATGCAGCAAATTCTCAACAATAGGGCTACGAGAATATATAAAAGGATTTGTGGAAAGTTGTTGTGAACAACACTAGTAGTTGTTGTATTCTGGAACTCCGAAAACGATGCGTAGGCTCTCTCCTTTTATCTCCACCTTTTAAATTCACAAATGAGATGTGCTTTAACTCATTCAATACCTATTCCCACTCATTTCTCACCTTGTACTTGGTCATTAGCTCTTTGGTGAAGCCGTAACGAAGATTCATGATGTGATCCTCATGATTGCCTCTATTGAGCGTGATTGCATTCGGATCCAGTACGAACAGTGCTAGCAATACACACAGCACCTGCAAATAAAATTATTATTGCATAGTATGAAAGATGCAAAAAAAAAAGTAGATCGAGCTGCTCAGGACCCTGGATCCTCGGCTGATATCATAGTTTGCGAATCGAGCGATTCGCTAGCGAATCGCTGGATCCGAGCGTTGCGCCAGCGAATCGAACTTTGCGCCAGCGAATCGAACGATGCACCAGCGAGTCGAACTAGGTACCAGCGACTCAATAGTGGCGGGACCCAACGTTCAAAGGAAGCCCGCCTTTCAAACAGCGTCCACTGTCACGTGACACTGTTTGAAAGTGGCGGGCTTCCTTTGAAACGTTGGGTCCCGCCACTATTGAGTCGCTGGTACCTAGTTCGACTCGCTGGTACATCGTTCGACTCGCTGGCGCAAAGTTCGATTCGCTGGTGCAACGTTCGATTCGCTGGCGCAACGCTCGGATCCAGCGATTCGCTAGCGAATCGCTCGATTCGCAAACTATGACATCGGCCTTCGAATCGCGCGCCAACTCTGGCTGTCAGTGCTATTGCATCCCACTGTAGTCATCCTTTTCCGCCTCAGATCTTTCGATCTTACCCATCGCTCTCCTTACGCCTTTACCATTATGCAATAAGTTAGTTCGTCTCCTATATCTACGATTTAGATTTGTAATATATTCGGTATACTTTTAACTATTTTAGAAGAGGCGGCGGAGCCTTCATCAATTGTTTTCCCTTTCTCCTCTTTGAGTTTCGTCGTATGATGTTAACAGGGAGTACGCATCTAATTTCTACGTATATATTGTAGTTGAATTGAATATATTGTAGTGTATGTAGCTTCTCCTGTTCCGGGTATTCAGTTTATTAGGCGACATGAAGTAGTATAATGTATAGTCCATTAACTCTCGTAAACTCTCAACGCAGATTACGCTGTGCACATTACGCCAAGCTTGCTCGCCCAGTCTGTCATTAGAATCCTTCTAGATACACTTTGTATTCTCCTAGCATATCGCATCCTTTGCAACCACAAGGCAACCGGCACGCACCAGCTCGCTTTTCCCCAGCAGGCCGAGTCTGCAGCTCGCTGCAGGACGTCAAACGTTAGAGCATTCACCAGCGCACTCTTCTTCCCTTGTGAGGTGTTGTGGGCACCCATTGGAGTCCTCCGTTTTGCCACGCCTACTATACTCCACCGGTGCACTCGATCCGACACCGCCGCACTGGCCTGAGTCGAAGCTTATACTCCGCACTCCGGTTCGTATTGGATTGCTGTCGCTTTTTCTTCCAAATACGTGTCTTACTTCTGGTTGTCTCTTCGTATCGCATCCAGGAAATTCTCAGCCTTACGAGTGCTAGCCCGTGCAGTTGGTAACGCAGCAATCAGTTGAGGGCATGCATTTAGCATCAAACTTCCCGGGAGAAAAATTCCTTGCTTGGTGACTCTTGCCCAGGTATCGAGAGGTGAGCCCCTTAAAATGTGTGGTGGTGGAGAGAGGTCGTATCGGACCCCAAAGATGAAAGCCTCAAAATTTTTGAAGGAGGACCAACGCACCAGTTCACCCTGCTCCTTCCCCTGTGACCCACCTAAAAGAGCATAACAACCAATTGCCGTTTCACGCGTGACGTGAAACTCGGTTAGAGTTGAAGTGACCCAGGTGCAAGTTGAATCACGAGCCTTCAACATTGACGCAATGTGCCAAAGCGTGAGGTTCCGCTA